GTAAGAACTCTAGCAGCTGCATTTTTTACTAACTGTAGCTTGTTTATTGAGGATGCAGGACAACCAGCTAATAAAGCATTGCAGTAATCTAGTCTCGAGGTCATGAATGCATGAACTAATTTTTCTGCATCAGAAACAGATAGCATGTTACGTAGCTTAGCAATGTTTCTAATGTGGAAAAAGGCTGTTCTTGTAACATATGAAATATGATTTTCGAAAGTTGCGGTCTAGTATAACACCCAGGTCTTTTACTGTAGTGGATACAGGACATCCGTCTATATTAAAGTTGTATTGTGAGGTTTTGTGAGTAGTTTTTTGGACCAATAAGTAATACCTCTGTTTTATCTGAATTTAATAGCAGGAAATTACGCGTCATCCAGCATTTAATATCTTTGAGACACTCTGTCAATTTAGATCAGTTAGTGTTTTCATCTGGTCGTGATGAAATATAATTGAGTGTCATCAGCGTAACAGTGGAAATTAATTCCATGTTTTCTTATAATATTATCAAGTGGCAGCATTTATATTGAGAATAGCAGAGGGCCTAAAACCGATCCTTGCGGTACTCCATAGTCTACAGACTTTATCTTTGATTTTTCCCCATTTAAACAGACAAAATGATAACGGTCCGATAAGTACGATCTAAACCAGCTTAATGCCTGTCCCTGAACACCAGTGTAGTTTTGTAGTCGATCCAAGAGTATTTTATGATCTATAGTGTCAAAGTAGATCAAGTAGGATTAGTATTGAGATATAGCCTTGGTCAGACAAAGAAAAAAAACATATTTGTAAAATATGTTGCACATTTATAAATAAATAAAAAAAGGAAAAAGTAATTAAGACTTAATATAAATAAGATTTAAGGCCCATTTCTCTGAAACTTAAAATTTGCTCAAGAGCATGCCCATTGGACATGATTTGGAAAAAGACACACAGGTCTATGCAGGTCTAACAGCTGAAAATATCAGAGCAAAATCCAAGCCATGAGGTCAAAGGAACTGACTGCAGGAACTGACTGAGGCAGCATTTTGAATAACCAGGGCACTTTCTAGAACTGGCCACCCAGCCAAACTGGGCAAAGGAGAAGGGCCTTATAAAGAGAGGTGACCAAGAACCTGATCGCAGAGATCATATGTGGAGATGAGAAAAACCTGTTTAGATGAAAGCCTCACCTCATGACATGAGGGACATGAGGAACTCGTAGTTTAAAAAAAAAAAAACGAAATGGGATAGTTGCAGGTCATAATAGGCATGCTGAAAAGGTACACCGTGCTAAAAGAGAAAGTAACCCCTAACCCTACCCTAACAGGCAGCTTTTGCGACCATCTGTAAAGCCTTCAGCACACCCACTACCTTTCGGCAAGCTCATTATTCTCATCTGCAGATACCCACACTTGAAACAAGCACCTAAAAGACATAGTTCGTCAGTCTGATTAACCTCAATTCCAAGCATCATGTCTGGAGGATACCAGAGACCACTCCGCACCTGCACAATACCATCTCTATTGTGAAGCAAGGTGGTGGTAGCATCATGCTGTGTTTGTGTTTATCAGGGGCAGGGACTTGGGGACTAGTCAGGCCGAAAGCTCACCTTCCAACAGGACAATGACCCTAAGTACACTGCTAAGACAATGCAAAGTGACTCAGGGGCAACTTTGTCAAATATGTTGCATCATACCCCAAAATATTTGAGTCTAATAATCAACCAAAGGTGCCAAAGTACGTACAGAGCCTTGAGGGTCTGAATACTTATGCTATGTAATTGTTTGTTTATTTGTTTATTAATTTATTTTTTACATAAACTTACATTTTTTTTGTTGCTTTTTTGCTTTTATGGGTAGAAAAAAAGTAAAGCGGTGTAGCATATAAGGCTGCAACAATTAAATGTGAAAAAAAATAAAGGGGTCTGAATTCTCTCGCAAGGCACTGTATATGAATGCAATTAAAAAAAAGAATTATTTACTAAGAGTGTTTTGCTTAAATATTGTAAGGGACATTTTTGAGTGATGATTCAAATTAATTTTTGAAATGCGTTTTACTGACTCTGATGCAACTTTATTTTATTTATTTATTCTGAATGAAAATTTCCATGAAACCTCCTCATTCATACTCACACAGATAGCAGTGGGAGAGTGGATTAAGTTTGACAATGTTGTCAAACATCATGGAGGAAGCGCTTATGCTTAGTTTTACCTTTGATTTTCACAGAAAAGTAACATGTTGTGTTGTCTGCTACTAGTTGGTGTGTCTTACTGTAAGTGTGCAAACTAGAAGAGTGTTGGCAATGAGCATGCATTGTAATCTCCAATGTTCTTTACAATGTGCTTTATTGTGGATCAGACTTTACCTCCGAAAATTCTGGTTATGTGAGGCTGCTCGACTTGGCTAATGCATATGGGTCAATCCTGCATGGCCTCATTAATATGGCTATGGAACACTACCATATCCCCCACCACATCAGGGGTATAATTACCAGCTACTTCGGAGGATTTAAACTTCGGTTTAAAACCGCCCAGTTTACAACTCACTGGCTGGACCTTGAAAAGGGAATTGTGACAGGTTGTACCATCTCTCCCATCCTGTTTGCTATGGGAATGAACCTGCTTATATCAGCTGCAGAAAAGGAATCAAGAGGGCCAACAATGGAGTCCGGCATCCAACAACCTCCGATAAGAGGCTTTATGGATGACCTTACCATAACAACTTCAACCCATGTGCAAGCAAGATGGATCCTGAAGGCACTTGATGATGTGGTAACCTGGGCTAGGATGAAGTTTAAACCAAGGAAATCAAGAAGTATGGTGATCAGAAGCGTGACCAGCAAGTTCCAGTTGCGAGTACAGGGGGAGATGATCCCATCAATTGAGGAAAACCCAATTAAGTGTCTAGGGAAATGGTACGATGCGTCCTTGACCGACAGATGCAACGTTTCTAGGACAGAGAAACAGGCAGATGAATGGCTGAGCAAGATCGAGAGGTCAGGTCTGCAAGGGAAGTTCAAGACCTGGCTCTTCCAACACGGTCTGTTACCACGACTCATGTGGCTACTGACACTTAATGAAGTACCTATGACAGCAGTGGAAGGAGTCGAGAGGCGAGTGAATAAACATCTTCGCAAGTGGCTCGGAATCCCACCAAGCTTTACGTCAGTTGGGCTATATACCAGGCCTGGTCAGGTACAGCTACCCCTATCATCAGTGGTGGAAGAGTTCAAGGTGGCAAAGTGCCGGGTTGCGATGATGTACCAAGACTCCTCTGATGAAAAAGTCAGAAAAGCAGGCGTGACTACGAGATCAGGACGCAAATGGGCGGCTGACACATCAGTGGCGCAAGCGGTAAGCGCATTGAAGCTGAAGGACATCATCGGGAACCCATGCATAGGGAGGCAAGGACTCGGGTCTGCCCACTTCCAGCAGTGGGGTAAAGCAGACCCAAGGCAAAGGAGGGACATGATCCAAGCCGAGGTCCGACACCTAGAGGAAGAAAGGCGCATGTCCAAGGCTGTCGAACTTGGAGTACAGGGTGCCTGGACAAAGTGGGACCTGCCGAAGCGGAAGATCGCGTGGCCTGAGATCTGGAGACTGGAGCCCTTTCGCATCTCCTTCTCTGTGTACGACACCCTTCCATCACCAACAAACCTCCACAGGTGGGTAATGAGGGACGACCCACTGTGTAGGCTATGCGGAGAGAGGGGAACAATGGCGCACATACTGGCAGGATGCAAAACAGCCCTTAGCCAAGGAAGATACAGGTGGCGCCATGACAAGGTTCTCTGTGAACTGGCTGACATCCTGGAGCGGGAGAGGCAGAAAAAGCGCCAGTCCAGTGCAAGGCCAGTATCAGCCATTCAGTTCATCAGAGAAGGGGAGAAACCACCAGCCCCCAAGAGGAGGGAAAAGAGCCTCTTGCAAGTAGCACAGTCCTGGGAGATGAGGGTGGACCTGGGAAGGAAACTAGTCTTTCCCCAGGTTGTGCAGACATCACTGAGGCCGGACATGGTCTTATGGTCCGAGGAGGGTAGGAAGATAATCTTGATCGAACTGACAGTCCCTTGGGAAGACGGGTGCGAGGAGGCCTATGAGCGGAAAGCCACTAAGTATCAGGACCTCGTTGAGCAGTGCAGGGCCAAAGGGTGGCAGACCTGGCTATTCCCGGTGGAGGTCGGGTGCAGGGGCTTCCCTGCGCAGTCGGTGTGGAAGACACTCACAGCTCTAGGTATAGCAGGAAGGGAGAGGCAGCTGTCCGTAGGTTGGGTGAGGCAGCAGAAAGAGCATCTTGCTGGCTCTGGAATAGAAGGGAGGAGTTGAGCTGGGGGCCAGGAGGAGGTGGGCAGTGACTGGCCACCACTGCCGACCCGCCAACTGGAGGGTGTTGTGGTTCAGGGTCGAAACACCCGGTGAAGGTTGGATGCTACCTGATGACATCTTCTCCTGGCCACAAGCTACAGTCATGCACTACAGTCAGTGACTGAGTAGATAGCATCTGTAAAGATGTATCCAATAGTAATGCAATTAAAAAAAAGAATTATTTACTAAGAGTGTTTTGCTTAAATATTGTAAGGGACATTTTTGAGTGATGATTCAAATTAATTTTTGAAATGCGTTTTACCGACTCTGATGCAACTTTATTTTATTTATTTATTCTGAATGAAAATTTCCATGAAACCTCCTCATTCATACTCGCACAGATAGCAGTGGGAGAGTGGATTAAGTTTGACAATGTTGTCAAACATCATGGAGGAAGCGCTTATGCTTATTTTTACCTTGATTTTCACAGAAAAGTAACATACATATTGTGTTGTCTGCTACTAGTTGTTGTGTCTTACTGTAAGTGTGCAAACTAGAAGAGTGTTGGCAATGAGCATGCATTGTAATCTCCAATGTTCTTTACAATGTGCTTTATTGTGGATCAGATTTTACCTCTGAAAATTCTGGTTATGTGAGGCTGCTTCCTCCACTTCTGTCAGTCTTTCTCATTCTCTTCTCTTGTTGCTTTGTCAGGGGTCAGCTGCATCAGCAGTGCTGTGAGGAGTGGACTCTGGTCAGTGAAGAGACTCAAGCTAAGATGGCCCGCATGGCAGCAGCTGCAGCATGGGGACTGGGTGAGGGGAGGAAAGAGTTTTTGTTTGGGGTGCGACAAGGGGTTAGTGCACAAAGGTACAACACATTCTTGATGTCAGACAGCAACAGCAGCCAATTGCAAGTCTGACAATACTATATATTCACAGCAACATTAAGCTAGATGTTAACTACAGTTGGTTATATAAAGCAATAAGGCAACTTCCTAATGTAAGTGCTTTGAAGGCCATTCAAATTTGAATATTGGTTATTACAGAAATATAATACAGTCATGCAATGTTCATGTTTTGTATTCCATTTAATATTAACATTGTGTTTTAAAATCCCCAAAAGAAAATTGTAAATATGTATTTAAATGTAAAGACCTAAAGTAGGTGTCTTTGTCTCTGCTTACCTGTAATAATGAAAACTCATGCTTGACTCATACAAAACTCATACAAAACTTGAAGGAGGTGAGTTCATATGAAATATGTAAAATTAACAACAGCCACAAAAAGTGGATTTTCATTTTCAAGTACTTTCTAAGAAGATATGTTTTAATGAAGCAACAAGATTATATTGTTACTTTTGACCTGAGAACACACAACTATACATTTGCATTTACTGTGGTTTCATTACTCATTTTCTCCTTGAAATCATTTGGATATTATATTGAGTATTCTTCTACTTTTAAAACCTCCACATTGCTAGGAATGTGATTCTCAGATATTGCATACAGATATTTGTTTATATTATAAATTTATTATTTTGTAGCAGATATAATAGTTATGTAATATATATAAAATGTGCTTATTTGTGTGTTTGTCAGGCCACTGGGACAGTATGGAAGAGTATACCTGTATGATCCCACGAGACACCCATGATGGAGCCTTTTACAGGGCAGTGCTTGCTCTACATCAGGATCTCTTCTCATTGGCTCAACAGGTACTACATAATGAACAACTAATGAGAGTTATTAATGGGGGGGTTGACTGCGATTTCACTTTTTTGATTTTAAATATTGTGTAATGTTGCTGTTGGTGCATGAACAGTATCTGTAAAGTTGCAGCGCTGAAAGTTCAGTATAAGCAGAGATATCGCCTTTTAAAAATCAGTAAGTATATTGCCTACAAAAACGACTCGATTGAGACTACAGCTGGGTTTTAGACGTCACTAACCCATACATTTGCATCAACCCCTCCCTCCGGAGTATGCAGAAAATGGCATTCGCATATTTAAGCGGCGAGTGTGTGGTCTTCTGTGTTCGAGCTTCCCACGGACGCTGTACTTTGTCAACAATGGATACACTTTATGTTTGTCAGCTTCTGTGTTTTAGCTTCCCACGGACGCTGTACTTCGTCAACAATGGATACAATTTATGTTTGATTATGTTCCTGAAAATGACTATCGTAATTTAGCTCTCTGTGCTGCGCATTTTACGGAAGACAGCTTCCAGAATCTCCACGAATTCAACACCGGATTCAACAAGAAACTGTTACTAAAACATGAAGCAGTTCCAAATTTAAAACCAGAGGCAGCAGTTGTTTGGCCACAACCTGTAACTAGGCTAAGACTTAATCATTTTAAATCTATTTGCATGTTTAATTCCAGAAGTAGCCTTGTGTTTTATTTTTATTTTCAAATACCAACGTTGGCTTTATAGCCACTATAAGCTTCTAGTTATGCTATTTTGTGTCTACGACAAATGCGTACAAACATTATGGACCTGAATTTTGTATAAGTACTAATGTTTTAGTCGTATTTTTCATGTATATATGCTTTATGACGTTATTTTCGATTTGATCAAGAATGTAAACTAATGCCACGCTGTTTGAATATAATGTTAGTAGCCAGTCAGTTGCTATTGTTGCCAATCAGATGCTATTGTGTAAAACAAAAGTGTATAAAGTTAAAAAATGTAGCAAATTATCATTCAGAATTAAGATGATTAATTCATTAAGAGCCGTGTGTGGTGAGGTTCTGCTTGACTCTCTTTATCGCCGCTTTCTTAGTCTGATTCTGCCTCAAACTGACACTACAGTATCGACCATTGTATCGTCACCTTTATTTACATGGTTGGACTTTTGGCATGCACGTTTTGCCTGTAAAGGTAATGGGCGTTAACCTTCCGGACAACGTGAGCGACAGTTAAGCCAATTACAACACACTGGTCTAAACTAACCAATCTGAGCCCACTGCCTGTTTCTGAGGGTGTGGTTTCATAGACTCAGGAAGTCAACCGCTCATTTATGGGACAGAGGAGAGCGCGGCTTACAATAAAGGTGAAATTTATGAAAAATAAGACGTTTTAAAAAAGAAAAACCACGAATACATGTTATATTGCACCCCATAAACACAATCATGCAAAGAAAAAAAGCAGTCAACCCCTCCTTTAAATGTTATTACCTCTAAACTTTTCCATCATCTAAAACTCACTGTACATGGAAGAAACAACAAGGAGGGAGATGAAGGGAAAAGTTGATCAGTCAAAACGAGGTTCACAAACGTTGGCATGCATTGTGTCTGTTATGTAATATTGGTCAAAGGCTACCCTCAGTCTGCACATAAAATTACTTGTCTAATGTTTGGACCCTGTGGTGATTTAATGTTCCTTTTTCCAAAATGAATGTCTGTGGGAGAGAGAGAGAGAGAGAGAGAGAGAGATAGAGAGAGAGAGAGAGAGAGAGAGAGAGAGAGAGAGAGAAAGAGAGAGAGAGAAGAGAGAGAGAGAGAGAGAGAGAGAGAGAGAGAGAGAGAGAGAGAGAGAGAGAGAGAGAGATGAGATCATACACATGGAGAACATCACAGACACGTACTCTTTGTGTTTATCAATATTATCATGTCATACCACATGCTCTATTACTCATGAGGACATTGTTACAAAGGTTATTTTAATGAAACGCAGTCCCAGCATGATTCGAGTTTAATGCTGGAAAGGAAATTAGCCATTCACAGGATGAGATCCAGATGAAACTGTGCTTCTGGTCAGAGCAGGTCATTTTGGTTTATAGAGCTGCATGATCTATTGAAATGATTGAAATATCACCAATGTGCATATCTCATGCATATCACAAGGTCTTTTTTTTTTTAGATAACTCAATCAATTTAATACTTCAAAAAGTTGTTTATGGTGATAGATAGCAGAAAAAAAATGTGTGAGCATCTGCAAAAGATCAAAGCCTGCACACACTTTGTGGAGAATATGAAATGCTTGTGTATTTGTGGCAGCATCGTCTTAAAAATGTGAACACATTTGTTTCTAGTCAAGTCCCCTTTATTTATATAGCGCTTTATACTGTACAGGTTGTTTAAAACCAGATTTTTATTAATAAACACAGAAAGTAATGATCAATGATGCAAACTGAATTCATATATGCTGTCAAAAAACTTCAGTAGTCTGAAGTCAGTTCAGTGTTGATTCAGTTGTTCAATGGCTGCCTAACGTTTTATCTAAGTAATGGTAACATTCTGTTGTTTATAAAGATGAAGTCAATCCTGGAATAGATCTGATGAGCTGATAAAAAAAAAAGAATATTGCATTGGTTTTGTTTTTTTATATTTCCATTCATCAAACATACCAAAAGTTTGCAGAAACTCATTGACACATCAAGCTGATTTACTAAGTGCCCCGGAAGTGGCTTTGGATTGGCCCAGTACTGGGTGGAGTATACGATTAAAATCATCTCCAAAAATAAGTTGTTGACTTCCAACATCTGGAAACCGTGCAAAGGAGTCACTGAAAATATTTACGTTGTCCCAATTAGGGGACAATGTATATGTAGGGGAGAGCGGGGCACAACCTACCGCATTTTTGTTTTGGCTCAGTTAATTAATAAATAATTAGGTTAGATTAATATTTTTTTACACAAGCAACATACACATCTCTGCTACAAATGAACATTTAAAGTTTTTTTCTAGGACCTACCATTTTTGTACAGTTGCACTGAAAATGACAGAAGTGCAAATGTTACAACTTACCCCATATGTGGGCTTAATTGTAAAAGACAGAGGGGTTAGTTGTAACACTTGTGTGTAACACACTTAATTCAGTACAATTTTATTTGTATAGTTTGATATTGTTTGTGCATCTGTATAGACAGATATCCATACATCCATCCCTCATCCAATCATCCTTCTATTATGGATCAATATCAAGGATAGAGACATAGAAAACCACTATCTCACAAACTCCCCATAACCCAAACTCTCCGCAACCCAACCATACGCACCGACCCGTTTGACTAAGGTTGTCGAGCCCCACTGTCGCGGAAATGCGTTTCAGTGGCAAACGGTTCCGTATGGCATAACAGAGGACTAAAAGGTAAGCATTATGTGCATGCTTGACTAAAGAGATGCGTCTTTAATCTAGTTTTAAACTGTGTCAGCGAGTCAGAGCCTCGGACCGTATCGGTAAGGCTATTCCAGAGTTTTGGAGCTAAATGCGAGAATGCCCTCCCTCCTTTACTGGAGTTTGATATCCTAGGAATGACCAGAAGCCTTGAATTTAGTGATCTTAAGGAACGCGGTGGATTGTAGGGCGAAAGAAGGTCCATTAAGTACATAGGAGCTAAACCATTTAGGGCTTTATTGGTCAGTAGTAGTATTTTGTAGTTGATACGGAACTTAATAGGTAACCAGTGTAGAGATGATAAAATCGGTGTTATATGATCATATTTTCTTGACCTAGTAAGAACTCTAGCAGCTGCATTTTGTACTAACTGTAGCTTGTTTATTGAGGATGCAGGACAACCGGCTAATAAAGCATTACAGTAATCTAGTCTCGAGGTCATGAATGCGTGAACTAATTTTTCAGCATCAGAAACAGATAGCATGTTACGTAGCTTAGCAATGTTAACAAAGAGAAAAATATCGCAAACACAGCCTGCTTGATCCTGACGAACTATGCAAAAGGTCCGTGTTACATTTAACCCCACGTTAGGTTGTCCCCCGCGCTCCCAGCAATGTTGGCCAGCAACACTGGTTGGTTGATCAGTTTCCCTTAGACAATAACATAACATTCATACTTAACGGTAGTCACTTTTGAATCCTGAAATGGCACATCTCTGTGAATTAATAAGGCTGTATCTCGACTTTTGACTCAAATTTTTAGATCTTTCGCCTCACTCCATCTTTCGCAGTGATTCTCAGTTCAGCAAGGTAGAACCTTGTACCTCATTGAAGACTGCTCATTGTCTCTTGAGACATGACCTTTGGCTGTAGTCATGCTGAAGGTGTATTTTGTCTCCATCTGATTTGACAATCTCCCTCTCTGTGTGCTTGTAATTACTCATTATTTGGTTGATCATCTCCTGGTCTCGATCTCAAAGTCCCGTGTGCCTGGATGAGTCCTCATGCAGCTCAGATATGAAGTCGGGAATATACTTTCCTTCCTCCCGTCTCTCCTTCACTCCCTTTATGCGTAAATTGCAGCATAATAGACAATTAGCAGAGAGCTTGAGCAGACAGGCATGGATTAAGAACTCACAAAGCCCTGGGTGCAATAGCAAAAGAGGAAGGTTTTATAGAACTTCTGGCCTATGGTGCCACAACTTTTTTTTACTTAACAAGAATAATTAGTTTTTGTTTTTAAACTAAACATGTTTTTAAATATCTAAATATTCCACATTAAACTAATAAATGCAATAGCACCAGATATGAGGTCAAAGCAAACAGGTTTACAGAAAAGAACTCAACTTTTGCGCAAAATTTTCTTTATAGCTGCTGTCCGGAGTTTTTCCTCTTTGTAGCCATCTCTGCTCGAAATCTGCAATTGCAGTTATTCGTGGAATTATCAATTTTACGTGAGTTGTACTTCAACACCCTCGACACTGCACAGCGCGGATGAACACCAATATTTGAGGAGAGTGAGCACCGTGCCGTGTGGATACTGTCATTCAGAATCACAGATTATTCTTTTTGGAAGGCCAACATAATAATTTTCACCGGAAAATGTTATCTGAACTAGTTAGAAACAAGCCACTTTTATTCTGGTTCTGACATTGCAGTAAATTGCGCTGATTAAAACTAACAATCCCTTATAAATTATCATATCACGCAAAACCGTGCAAATTATACTTTGTTCTCAAATTGTTAATGTTAACAAAGTCAGCATTGTGTGACTACACGTAATGTCCTTCCAATATGTATCCTTTTTTTTTGCATGACTTGGTTGCAGTCTCTTTTTTTCTGTAGCCACTCCGAAGTCCGAACAAAGTCTTTTGCATTTTACAGCGGGTGAATCTCTAGTTGTCGCTGGTGATTGTCGTTTGAATCTTTCTGGATCCACCATCAAATTGATAAGTTTAATTATATCAAGTGCTGTGAGAAAACGCTATAAATCTCCATCTTCAACGTCCTCACATGCAATATAGCCTACTAGCCAAGACTCCTTCTTTATGTGTACAGATGTGACCTAATGACACAAAGACATGCTCGAATCTCCTGCAGAAATCCGCCAGTACCACTGGAGTTAAAAACAGTAACAAGCTTATCGCTTTGAATCGAGCTAAGGCAAGCAGATAGTTTTGAACACTGGCTGGTTATGTATTTTATCAAATATATATATTTTGGATAATTTTTAACCCCCAAAAAGCTACAGATTGCAGCTTTAAGTAGTTTTATTATTGGAAGGTCTTCTTTCTGGCCCAAGAAGAGAAGAATCATCAGCCCTGACTTGGGCTAAAATTCAGCCCATCAGCCCACACTTTCCTCCATAAATGTTTTAGAAAAAAATATGAAACAAATAATAATAGATATTTCTGAATATACTTTATATATGTTGAACAATATTAATATTGCAGGCTCTTAATTATTGAATTCATAGTTTCAATAATTAAGTTTCATAAAGTTTATTATAACTGCACATATCTACACAGAAGAAAATGTCATAGCTTCATCCTTAATTCATTTGATACAAGCTCTTAAATTCTCATTTAATGTAGTTGCCCTAATGAAAAGTGAACAGCTCTTGAATAGCATCAGAGTTTAACTATAAGTTCATGACACAGGAAAAAAAAAATGTTTTATAACAACAATAATAAAATGAATAATAAACTGGTATAATGAAAAACATCTTAATAGCTTTAAGCTATAAAAACAATCTCTATAAAAGTGGCTTATATTGCCCAATATTTATAAAAATTTATATATTTTGATGTTGTGTGGATTGAAAAGCTTGTAATTACCATTGTGTAGAGTTTTACACTTCAACCCTTCAGTTCGTGTGGTCAGAGCTATTCTGTCTGGTTTTATCTAGGTTCATCTAATGTTCACATATCATGTTGTGGACATGTCCTGTTTCATGTCCTGTCCTGGTCATCCTGGCTGTTTTTTATAAAGTGATTAAAATGTCCTGGTTTTCAAAAAAAAAAACTGCTGGGAAAGATATAGATGGGCAATCAAGTTGGACGAGGAAGAAAAACGGGATAAAGAGGAAGAAAACTAAAGATATAAATATATTTTGTTAGTTTGTTTTTGTCAGTTTGTGAGAGCTATTTTTGTTCAATTTGGAGGTATTTCTTTTAGTTATTTATTATTTATATATTTATTTTTCCTAATACAGAAGAGACATTATTTCTATCATTATTTCATTCATTATTTTTGAAACCTTTCATAATAAAACATGTTGAGAAGCCTCTGAATATGTGTCTTGTAATATAACAATTTTCTATCCATACAGAGGAGGCATAGCCTACTTTGAATGTATTGAAATTAATAAGGCATCTTAGAATAAACTTCAAGTATTATTTGAGTATCTGTTTGCCGGGCCGAGTGTCCTGGGTTTTGGTAATCAAAATATGGTCACCCTAAAATAACTGCAATGCAGTCAACGACCTACTTCATAGATGTATGCTTACTGAAAAAAGGCCTGTGAAACAACTTAAATAAAACATTCAGCAATGGTATAATGTTGTGTGTTTATGTGATTTCAGTGCATCGACAAGGCCAGAGATCTACTGGATGCTGAGCTCACTGCCATGGCTGGAGAGAGTTACAGTAGAGCATATGGGGTAAGAACATATACCTCAGTCTTAATACATTAGATTTTTTAAGCTGAAGTCAAATGATCATTCAACTCAAAAAAAAAAAGATTTAATTCTTTTTAATTGCACACAAACTGCTTTGATAAGAGTGCTGTTCAGGATGTGTGGAAAAGACCATTTCAGGAAAGACTATTACATAGTACGACTATTACAGTATTTCAGCTTAATGAACACACACACATAATCTCACATTGGGTGAGATAATTGAACTTAATTTCTAATCTATGATTTTTTCTTTCCTTACCTCTCTATTATAGGCCATGGTGTCATGTCAGATGCTGTCTGAGTTAGAGGAGGTGATCCAGTATAAACTGGTTCCTGAAAGGAGGGACATCATCAGGGAAACGTGGTGGGAGAGGCTGCAGGTGACAGCAGTGTTATTCCCTCTATCCTTGTCAAGTCACCTTTATTTATAGCGCTTTACACAATAACGATTGCTTCAAACAAAGCAGCTTTACAGTGATAACAGGAAAATGATTCAATGATGCAAACCGTGCACCGATACCACTTTTTCCAGAATGACTCCGATATTGATTCTTTTGTTTTTAGTGCTTGCTAATCAGAGCATATGAGTGGAGTGGAGCGTGAAAATCTCAGCTCCTCGCTCATGGAGCTGTTCACCCCTCTGCTCCGCCGCTCAAAGCCACATCAGGCCGCTTCGCTCATTATTGCTCAGCGCTCAATGCAGTTTGCTTTGCACTCCACTTAAATCGCCCACATTTTGATAACTAAACTTTTGCACAGTGCACACGATTAAAATTAAAATTGGCTTATATCAATTGTACAACAAAAAATGCTGTAAAATTAAAGGGCTAGTTCACCCAAAAATGAAAATTTTGTCAGTATTTACTCACCCTCATGTTTTTCCAACCCCGTAAGACCTTCGTTGATCTTCGGAACACAAATTAAGATATTTAAGATATTAAGATCACTCCTGTATACTAGTCCATAGGCTTCTTGAGGGAATGACTTGCTGGCCTCGAAAAGTCATTAAAGGACATCGTTAAAATAGTCCAAGTGACTACAGTGGCTCAATCTTAAGTTTATCAAACGACGAGAACACTTTTTGTGCGCAAAAACAACAAAAATAACGACTTTATTTCAACTATTCGTTTATTTCTCCCTCTGCCTCGAGTCAGGTTACTAGTTTAATAGCGTAAGCTTCTGTTATTGTACGTCACACGCATCACACACATGACCAGCGTCGGCCAATAGTGAGCCTACATGTGACGTAGCTCTACGCAATCACACTACGTTAACTGACTACAGGCCCATAGAGAAGGAAGTGAATAGTTGAAATAAAGTCGTTATTTTTGTTTGTTTTTGCACACAAAAAGTATTCTTGTCGTTTGATAAAGTTAAAATTGAGCCACTGTAGTCACTTGGACTATTTTAACGATGTCTTTAATGACTTTTGGAGGCCAGCAAGAGTCATTCCCTCAAGAAGCCTATGGACTAGTATGCAGGAGCGATCTTAAAGGTTCTCTGAGCGATCCTGGGTGTTGTTGACGTTCAGAATATTTTCAAACAAATCGGAGGCTAGCTAGACCCTCCCTCCGCGGCATCTCATCTCCTCCCCCTCCCTTCCGTGCTTCCTGAAATAATTGTGAACGTGCATAGTTCTAGCTAATTATATCCTTGTGTGGGTTTGGCAAAAATAAAGCGTCAATTTAGAAGAAAAAAAAAAAATTTAACGTTACCCACATGTCCAGCAAAAACAGAGCAACCTGAATGTCGGACTGGAAGCCCTTCTGCCGCCGGAGTTCTTGCCATCGTTCAAAAGCTTTGCTACCGATGTAAATTCGGAACTTCGCACGTTCTTTATCCGACTCCTTCTTCTTTTTAATTTGTTCTTCAGAACGACGTCTATTTGGTCGTGTGTCGGCTATTTTTTAAACTTCCCTCTGATGCTTCTATCTCCTTCACACACACACTATCTCCTTCACACACTTCGACCCACCCTCAAATACTTCTTGCCAGTGATTGGCTGGAACACTGTTTGTTAGGTTTCGTGGTCCGGGTGAGACATGATTGTTTTTGTTGCCGTTTGTGGAGCCTGTGGTGTCTACAGAGACCGCGTTTTTTTACAGTGTGTTTAGGGGACAGGCAGCTAGCCAATAGTGAGGAGACGTTTGATGTATGTGACAAAAAATGTTTTGGCCCCACATCGCTTAGAGAACCTTTAATATCTTAAATATCTTAATTTGTGTTCCGAAGATGAACGAAGGTCTTACGGGGTTGGAACAACATGAGGGTGAGTAAATACTGACAGAATTTTCATTTTTGGGTGAACTAACCCTTTAAACAAATCAATGGTCCTAAATATATATAGGCTATAGGCCTACTGTAGGCTACATCAAAGTATTTAAAAGTAGGCTAAATGAACTATTAGGCCAACATTTGTATAACTGAACTTTTGCGCAGAGTGCACGTGGATAACAATTTAAATTGGCTTATGTTGTTAAACTTAAAAAAAACTAAAAAGAAAGAAAATGAATTGCTTTCTTTATCTACAGTTCTTTTAAGTTCACCTTCAAGAACACAAGTTTGGACAATGTCTGAGGCTTCAGACTCATGCAGTGGTTACGGAGAAAACCCTCACTGCACTCGCATACCCCCTTGGGATGCTGAACACAATGCAAGCTTCTTTAGCCAGGCGGGGAAAACATGGAGTCAGACTTGTGGTGTGAGTGGAGTGAAATTGGAGCGAGAAATAGGGCGACGCTCCGTCCTTTTAAAATTGACTCTCTGCGCTCTGTCTAAAATCCACCCGCTCGCTCCCGCTCCACTCCGCTCACATGCTCTGTTGCCAATACAGAGTAATACCTGTATTTTCATTGCATTTTAATTTTTTACAAATATTGGACAGCGAAACCCAAAAGAATATCCATATATACTGTTACACGTATCCATACACATATACACATATCCAACATACTGTTACACGCACGTTTTCTTTTCAACTGTTTACGTTCACTTAAGACATAACCGACTATGTTTCACAACAATACTTGCCTATACGGTGCTGTGAGTGATAATGAAAGACACCTGTGAGGCACACGCCGGTCTCGCGTCTCTCACGGGGGAGTATTTCTCCCATCTCAGGGGAAAATAAGAGAATAAACCATGACCATTCATAAATATGACTGGGTTTCTAAAGATACAAAGCTTAATGCAAATGGGTGAAGTGACCATTTAAAACTTGACTCTTCTGTAGTTACTTCGTGCACTAAGAACGACTAAAGTTGTGATTTTCTAGGCTGAAATGGCTAGGAACTGTATTCTCATTCCTGCTTAATAATCAAGAAACGTTACTGCCATACCATGAGAGCAGCAGGCGTAATGACATGAAGCAGCGCCTGAAAATAGGCTACCTTCCGTCAACATAACTACACAAACTTAGTCCCGGTCACGTTGGAAGTTACCGAGCTGGGGGACTATTTTCAGGCGCTGCGTCATATCATTACGCCCAATGAAAACCATTATGCCTATCATTACTGCGTCATAGCCATATCAGCCTAGAAAATCACTACTTTACATTTTCCGTCGGCCTTAGTGCACGATGTAACTACAGAAGAGTCAAGTTTTAAATAGAAAAAATGTTGAAACTCTTTGTTCATTTTCTTTTGAGAAATGCTAATGGTCTTGTCCACTTGAATGATGTATGCTAAGCTTTGCTAAAAGTTATACCGCCAGAACCGGAGATCGGCTGAATGTATTCAAAAACAGTAAAACTCCACAGTTTAACTCTGGGGGATTTGTAAAATAAGCCTATTTCCAAAAAAAGTGGAGTATCCCTTTAATAGGCTATTTGTGTCACGATACACTTAACAAAAGTGAAGGGAAGGACTCAAGTGCAGTGAAGGGATGATTTATTAACAAAGTAAAACAAAACACAAAGCAAAAACCCACGAGGGGGAAAACATACTCAACAAAACATAAAACTGAACTTGAACTGAAATACCATACACTGACCATGAATAACACCAGGGAACAGGGGAGACATAAGACAAAGATCCAACACAGACTGCAAACATGAAGGAACTTAAATAGGGAACAAATCAAGAGGGAACAGGTGGGAGAACTCAAACACTAATTAGGTAACGAGGGGGAGGATCAAACAATGACAAGAGCACATGGCTCAACATAACAAAACCACCCATGTGCTAACACGACAGGACAGACACGTGACAATTTGCACACTGTCTAATTTTATTGTAAAAATGTAGGGAACCACTTGGGTACCGAACTCTGTACTTTTAATGGCACCGACCAAATTATTTTACATTTACAATAAATCATTTGGTGGCAAATTTCGGTACCTGAGAACGTATCTGGACGCAAGAGTAACACTATTTAAATATGAATAGTGCGTGTCTCTGTGTGAATGAGTTAGCAGACACGCGGTTTCATTTACAACACACCCACACTGAAGCACACGTGACTCTCGCAGCGTTTTTCAACCTATGCAAAGCTATGCATCCTATGTGTCAAATGCAGCACTAAGATCGAGTAACACTAATAGAGAGATACAACCACGATCAGATGATAAGAGCAAATAAGAGCTGTCTCGGTACTATGATGTGGTCTAAATCCTGACTGAAAATCCTTGCAGATATAATTTCTTTCAAGAAAGGAACAGTTGTGAGGATACTGCTTTTTTCAGTATCTTTGACAGAAAAAGCAGATTCGAGATTGGCCTGTAATTTTCTAATTCTGTAGGAGCAAGTTGCGTATTTTTTAACAAGCGGGTTTATCATAGCCAGCTTAAAGGTTTTTGGTACGTCGGTATAGGGTCTAGCATACAAGTTGTTGATTTAGATGAATTAACGAGTTTGCAAAATTCTTCCTCTCCTATAGCATCAAATGAACCAAATCTTTCCTCAGGGAGACAACAATGCACCCCCTTATGCGATACTGTAGTAGACAGTTGCATAGTTATAATTTTGTCCCTAATATTATCAATCTTAGAAGTGAAGAAATTCATAAAGTCATTACTGCTGTGTTGCTTGGACACTTCTGGGCTTGAAGCTTTCTTTTTTGTTAGTTTAGCCACTGTTTCAAATAGATACCTATGATTATGTTTATTTTCTTCTAATAAGTTTGAAAAATAAGCAGACCTAGCAGTTTTTAAGGCCTCTCTGTATTCAGTCGAGCTCTCCTTTCATGAAATCCGGAATACCTCTCGTTTAGTTTTCTTCCAATGTGAACTAATGATGCAAACCTGCAGACTTTTCCATTAATTCATAAAGGTGTAAGAGTGCAGAACTGATGTATCATTGACAAACAAAGTCAACGGTTAATTGTTCAGCTCAAGTTTAGGAGAATTACAGGCACAGAACACTGTGATCAGTTGTTTTAGTAGGGTTAATGTACAGTCAGCTTTTCATCGGTATCAGCTAGAGCTGCACTATTAATCATTAAAGAATCTGAATCTTGATTCAAACACCCACACAAACTTATTAAACCTTTAACAAAATCACAGTGGATCATTCAGATCTGTGTTGGCATTGCCACTGTCCCATAGAAAGCAGTTGTCATGTATAGTACAGTTTCAAAAACAGTATTTTCAATAACAGTAAACAGTTATTTCCGTTCTACAAATATTTAAATGATCTCAGAAGTACTGGGATAAAAGTTGACAGTTCAGATAAAAAACACTGATGTCTATGGTAGTGTTCAAAATAGAGCGAATCACCTTTTGACAGGTACTTGATGCTTTAAATAGCGATTACATTGATTGCATCACTATGCCACTTGGTGACCACAAGTGACTGTTAAAAAAACAATATTTGTAATTTAATAATTTGTTCAAGAGATTTATTTAAAATCGCTGATTCGTCCAGTAATGAAACAAGTGAAGTATTCATGAGTGAGTCATTGAATCATTCATTCAAGCTGATTTTTTTTTTAAATAAATAATTCATTTAAATCATTAAAACACATTTAAATAGACTGCACCCTTTAACAATTTGTCAACCTCTAGTAAATTACTTTTTTAAGTATTAAGTATTTATTTTGTTTAGTTATCTGTCATGGGAGAATCGCGATCGTGCAGCTCTAATGTCAGCTTTTAGCTTTCAGCTTTATCCAACCCTAAATGTCATTTGTAGAAACAGTTTATTCTAGCCAAGGACTGCCCAATTTATAACCTAAACACCAACCCATACTTTTTCCAAATAGTCAAGTCTGGTTATGTAAGCTATGTCTGTTGGTAATGGCAAAAAGTTTTCATCTCTCTGTCAACAAATCGTCTTAAATTAAAGGCAAACAAACCATCTTTAGAGCTGTCGGCTGCTCTTTACCAATTTCTTATCATTTAATTCAAGTCTAAACTAACCAACTCAAGTTTCAGCGTAGTTTATAAATGTAAGTGCTAAAAATGTGCATTTTTTTCAGGGTTGCCAGCGTATTGTGGAGGACTGGCAGAGGATCTTGATGGTGCGCTCCCTGGTCATTAGTCCACATGAAGACATGAGGACGTGGTTGAAGTACGCTAGCCTCTGTGGAAAAAGTGGAAGACTAGTAAGAACAACAGTGTCATATCCAATCACAAGCTTAGAACTGAATTCATTATGTAACGCATAAAACATCATTGCTCAAAGCTCAAATTCACAAAAGAAAAAAACTCAGTTGTGGAAGTTTAAATGTCTTTCAAAATGTGGCACAAAGTTTAGAGCCTAGAGCTAAAATGAAACCTGTGCACAAAACTGATGTTTGTATTGTACCTATGTGTATGCCTACGTTTGTCATTGTTGTCATGTTTAAATAAATCTATCCTGAGCTTTGACTATCCTGAGCTTTGATGTGAAAGTTTGCCAACAAGGAAATATTATACAGTACATTTACAGTAATATGCACCTATAAACCATGGTTTATAGTTATTTTAGAATAGCACAACGTGGATCAGTTGCTACCTAGACCAGTGTTTCCCAACCCTGTTCCTGGCGGCACACCAACACTGCGTGTTTTCTTTGTCTCCCTAATCAAACACACCCGATTCAACCCATCAGCTCATTAACCCACCTAATTATGAGCTGATGGGTTGAGTCAGGTGTGCTTGATTAGGGAGACAAAGAAAACACGCAGTGTTGGTGTGCCGCCAGGAACAGGGTTGGGAAACACTGACCTAGACCACCGGTAACACTTTACTTGAAGGGGTGTGCATAAGACTAACATGACACTTTAATAATCATGACATGACATGTTATGAATATGAAAGAAGTTTTATGCATGTTTTTGACAACTCTCATTGAGTGTCATTTGCTCAGTTATGACATTTTTAATGCAAATATGACATTGTTTGTGATGTCTTTTGTTATGACACCTTGACATAAACCAATTCATCAAAATCTCTCAGTGTCTGTCATGACAACTTGACATTACCTGTCATACACATGACAGCAGATTAATTATCAAACTTAAGAAACCACATAGCTTTATTGGTTAACCTAACATTAAACTGTCAGGTGGTTGGTTTTGACATTGGCTGTCATGAAGCCATTATAACTTTTTAATGACAAATTTAATTAGTACCATTGTAGTTGAGGTCACGAAAAATATTCATGACACAGTTATAATGGCCTCATGACAGCTAATGTCAAAACCCACCACATGACAGTTTAACTTAATTTTATGTCAAGTTGTCATGACAAAGACATCTTAAACAATCTCATATTTGCATTCAAAATGTCATCATTGAGCAAAAGACACTTAATGACAGTTGTCATAAACATGCATGAAACCTCCTTCATATTCAAGACATATGTCATGTCATGGTTATGAAGGTGTCATGTCAGTCTTATGTACACCCCTTCAAGTAAAGTGTTACCCATAGATCTTGCAAGGTTTCATAAGGTAAACACACAGCAACAAAATTTAAAGGGGGCTTGAACTTACACTTCACTTAGTTTGAGGATGTTTGCCATCTTATTTTTATCGTTGCACCAGTTTAGAGACATAAGTTGACATTTAGCTTTTTCATTTATTGTTTTTTTTTTCTTCGCCATCTGACCCCCTTTGTCATGAAGTACCCCCATGAGATTTTAAGTTAATTTAGCAACAATTTAGTATTTGCACATTCACAGTTCTGTGATGTCAGTTAATGGTCACATGACATGCAGGTAAACAAATAAAATCTTTTTTAGTAAATATTTATTTTAATAGTTTTTATTTTAAACTTATTTATTTATAATTTGGCAGCCCTATTATATTTATTTGATTTATACAATTTGTATGATTTAATTAATTACTTGCTTTTCATCAACTCACAAACCCCCTGCAATCCGACACACATGTGTTTTAGAAACATCATAAATAAAAGATCAATGTTAAGACTATACCTGAGCCTGATTAGCTAACATAGTTTGGCAAATGGCAATAACACATTTTTAAAAGTCAAGTCAAGTCAAGTCACATTTATTTATATAGTGCTTTTCACAATACAGATTGTATCAAAGCAGCTAAATTTTAGCAGCAACTAAAACCATGATAAACTTTTAATTTCTGAGATTTAATGTCAAATCTTGTGTTCCTCAGGCACTAGCCCATAAGACGCTTGTTCTCCTACTCGGTGTGGATCCCTCCAAACAGCTTGACCATCCCTTGCCCACCGCCCACCCTCATGTCACCTACGCTTATATGAAGTACATGTGGAAGAGCACTCGCAAGGTAAACACTTGAATCAATCCCTCTGGGCAGTATTTCCAGTCATGTACAGTCAAGTACAGCTTCTGTCTGCTTAAACGTGCAAAAATCTCCAATAATACATGTGCAATATTTGGAGGAAGCCATCTATTAGCATTCCCATTCATCTTAAAAGCAGTTGCTTATCTAGCAAATTCAGTCCTGGAAATACATGACTTGTGTGCTGCAATCTTGGCTCATGGGGACTATAGACTACTCATTGGAGACATAAATGCTATTCACATTTTGCAAACAATTTAATCAGAATTAGAATTCATACTGCCAAGGACCATCAATATATCAAAATAATTAGGGAATCATCAAAATGCAATAATGATTCAGATTTTATTTAATTTAATGTAATGGCGATTGACGGTGGTGGATATAAGGAATAACTAACTCTGGGCCCGGAGTCAATTATTCCACTTATACTATGGTTACCACACCTCAAAACATTGTTCAGATGATGTATTTCAGGATGTTTGTCAGGTTTTTCGTCCTTTCGTCCCCCTGAGGACCAAAAACGCATCCCCCGTTTTGATCGTTTTTTTTTTTTTTTCACATAGCTGCTGTGACGTTGTGCGGAGAAATTGTGCTGAGGCTGGATCCAGACGCAGTGTAGCTTTATTAACAAATACCAGAACAGGATACATAGACTAGGAACAGGACTCGGAATCAAAAACGCCAACGTAACATACATGCATTCAACGACTAACAAAGACAGAACAGAAACACAGGGCTTAAATAATCAAGGACGAACGAACTAGACAAGATAACAAAGGGGTGTGAGAAATAAGAAACACCTGGGATGATTAATAGACGGGGACCCAATAATAATGAAAACACACAAAACCCACATTATGACAGCTGCAACATAGACTTAAAATACTCAGTCATTAATTGTCATATAAATAAAATCAATACATGATTATAAACTATAGAGGGTCTTCTTTTTTGTGTACACTCTTATTAACATCAAAACCTTGTGTTTTTGTAAAATAAATAAAATAAACAGGGTGTCTCCGCAAAACTCTTTCTGAAACGCGTCCGAAAAATGAACTGTAACTCATTAAATACTTGTCACAGAGACACGAAAGATTTCTCTTTATGAAGCTAAAGTTCTCTTCTTTTAAAGGGTAACTAAACCCCTGGTCAGAGCCTGACTCCACCCACTAGCAATATTTGAAAAATGCTGAAAAAATGGGCAGACCACAGCGGGGGCCAGGGGGCGTGCACCTGAGACCCGCTGTGAGTGACAGCTGCTGTCAGCCTCTAAAATAGAGAGAGATTGGAGTGACGCAAGTAGCTGCCTTTGCAACAGAGCGGCCTTTTGAAGTCGAGGACTTTTCTCCCTCACCTTGACCTTCACCTGAAGTGGATGAGGGTGAATTGTATGTAGACACAGGGCCAAATCCATTCGAGCCGCTGGCTCAAACTGCGATCTTAACTCCCGCATCGCGACCGGCATCTGATGAGTTTTGTCGTCGAGTTGATCTCAATAGCGCACGCTCTGTGGGCATATATTCATATTGATATTCTGCCGCTATGTGAAAAAATCCAGCAAAATGCGCCGGCTCGTTTGTCGACCACAGAGGATTAAATTTATCCTAACCATAAATTGTGATTAAAATATCCATGATCACTCACATCAAGACGCCGCTGCGGTGGAGGAGTCCATGCAGGAGGAGCAGTGTTTGGCACTGCGTGTGGAGCTGTGTGGAGAAGCCCATGTCCACCTCTATTCCGTTACTATCCTGATCACTGTACTAAACACTGATAAATCTATGTTAACTTGAAGCTATCCTAACTGTACTATGCTACTAGCTACACAAAATAATCTATATAATGCTATGCTAAATAGATGCAACAATACTCTATCCTGATCGTTTTCAAAAATAATCTTTAACTATATAAATGGTATGCTAACTAGATGTTAATATATGCTATCCTGATCGTTTCCAATACTCATAAATCCAACTCCTGACTCGCTACAGTAGTTTTGATGGAACCAGATGCTTTTATACCAGGGGCTGCCAAGGGCGTGGTGAGCTCGCACCAAGGGCGTGACAGAGTGGCGTCAGAGAGTTCCCTACGTCAGAGAGTACCCCTACAGCAGGAGCTTTCCGTTTAACCTGAAGAGGGCAGCACTCAGACGTTTTTACACCATATATTTGAAAATCAAAAGACTTTATACTCAATTGTCAAAAAATTTACTCGAATCAATAACCAGCATTTATGAAGCTCCATTCTTACAGATCATTAACTAAAAAAAGTTGTTTTGGTGTTTAGTTACCCTTTAAATGAAGTAATTTATATAAAAAAGCAACTATTCTCAGTTGATGTAATCTGTATGAAAAGAAAGAGATGTCAGTCTTTTTCCTTTCTCCTAATTATCGCTTATGACGTGTTAATGTGACCCCGCCCACTGAGAGCGTGCGCTATTCAAACGCTATTGTTGAGGCAAGCCATGAAAACGCCCATATATCAGCTGGATAATCATCCAGTTTCTCACAAATCTAACCTTACCTCGTGTTCCTGCGCTGTGAGGAATAATACTGTCATAATAATCCTGGAAAATTACCTCACTTACCTGTTTCATTTCGAGGAGGAGCACACAGATGCAGCTGATGTAAGTCATTTATTCTTAAGTGTTTTGTTCTAATCGTGTTATTGAATAGTGTCTGTAAACTGCACAAAGACTGTTTAAATATTAAATGCGATTTGTTCTATTCTGATCTGTAAAAACAAAAAGACTGTTTAAATATGAATCGGGTATGTGAACGAACGAACGTACAGATGCATAGCCTACTGTTACAGACGAAATAGATTATAAAGTTTTTACTATAAAATAGACATCAAATAAGCTTTAGTTAGACAGTTTCTGCTCGTATGTTAAATATGTAGCATGTTTTGTCAAAACTAAACTAATCAACTGTTATCCAATGCAAGCTAATGCAATGTACATATCAGAATAATGAATCCTTAACTTTGAAATATGTATTGTAAAATGTAAATGGCCTACTTTAAAAATAATACTTTAAATAGAAAAAAGAATTTTCTTTTGAAGATGTTTCCAACTCTAACTTTGAACCAATTATACACAATTGTCCATATAACCTATTTGACCCGGATCTGTTTCCTGGTATGACTAAAAATGGATTTTTGACTTTCATTTATATTTTGATATATATATATATATATAGTCCTGAATGACCGAGGGAGCAGTTCCAGGACTAGTTCCAGTGCCAAGCCTCATGGAGGTGTCGTGGGCTAGTTGATGAAACACCGGTGAAGTGGGGTGCCCACTTGAAAACCCAGTGAAGTCAACAGTCAAGTCAAGTCACATTTATTTATATAGCGCTTTTCACAATACAGATTGTATCAAAGCAGCTTCACAGTGATAACATGAAAGTAGTACAACACAGATCAACAACATTGCTAAACACTAAATAACCCCAACTGAGCAAGCCAAAAGCAAGCCAAAAGCAAGGCAACAGTGGCAAGGAACCAAAACTCCATCAGATTGGATGGAGAAAAAACCTTGGGAGAACCCTGGCTCAGTCGGGGGCCAGTTCTCCTCAGGCTTACATTCATATTGTTTAAATATAAATATTAAATATAAATATTGTTTATGTATAAAACGGCGCCATAACATATCGCAGGCGTTGAGTCGTCTCTTCACAGGCATTGGTCCTCTCATCACAGGCGTTAGGGCATCCGAAATCCCCGTGAGAGGCTGGATACAAAACTGGACCTGACGAACGCCATTTTTCTCGGGACAAGCGTCCCGAGATAACAGCAGAAAGGCAGATGGGAAATAATTAGCATAGCTGATGTTCATAATGATTTTCATTATACGGGAGTCGGTGTTAGAAAACCACTATCTCACAAACTCTCCGCAACCCAAACTCTCCGCAACCCAACCATACGCGCCGACCTGTTTGTTTAGAAGGCTGTCGAGCCCCACTGGTGCGTTAAGCAGTTTCAGTGGCAAACGGTTCCGTATGGCATAACAGAGGACTAAAAGGTAAGCATTATGTGAATGCTTGACTAAAGAGATGCGTCTTTAATCTAGTTTTAAAGTGTGTCAGCGAGTCAGAGCCTCGGACCGTATCTGGAAGGCTATTCCAGAGTTTTGGAGCTAAATGCGAGAACGCCCTCCCTCCTTTACTGGACTTCGATATCCTAGGAATGACCAGAAGCCTTGAATTTAGTGATCTTAAGGATTGTAGGGCTGGATTGTAGGGCGAGAGAAGGTCCGTTAAGTACATAGGAGCTAAACCATTTAGGGCTTTATAGGTTAGTAGTAGTATTTTGTAGTTGATACGGAACTTAATAGGTAACCAGTGTAGAGATGATAAAATCGGTGTTATATGATCATATTTTCTTGACCTAGTAAGAACTCTAGCAGCTGCATTTTGTACTAACTGTAGCTTGTTTATTGAGGATGCAGGACAACCGGCTAATAAAGCATTACAGTAATCTAGTCTCGAGGTCATGAATGCGTGAACTAATTTTTCTGCATCAGAAATAGATAGCATGTTACGTAGCTTAGCAATGTTTCTAAGGTGGAAAAAGGCTGTTCTTGTAACATATGAAATATGATTTTCGAAAGACAAGTTGCGGTCTAGTATAACACCCAGGTCTTTTACTGTAGTGGATAGAGTAACAGGACATCCGTCTATATTAAAGTTGTATTGTAAGAGGTTTTGTTTTTTGGACCAATAAGTAATACCTCTGTTTTATCTGAATTTAATAGCAGGAAATTACGCGTCATCCTGCATTTTATATCTTTGAGACACTGCATTTTAGATGAGTTAGTGTTTTCATCTGGTCGTGATGAAATATATAATTAAGTGTCATCAGCGTAACAGTGGAAATTAGTGATCGACCGATATATGTATATATATACGATATATCGGGCCGATATTTGAAGTTTTTACGTGTATCGGAATCGGCCGATACACCGCTGCGCGTTCGCCGAT